CTGATGAATTAGAATAGATGAGAGTTGAGAATTAAGAAAGGAAACAGAAGCAGATGGATGTTTAGATATTAAAATAGATTTAGAAGGATTGACTTGAATATTGGCCATGTTATAAAATAAAGTTGCAATATCAATAATTTTGTCAAGTTCTTCTTTTGATTGAGTAATCCAAATAGTATCATCCATATAGGCAAGGACTAATAAAGAGATATGGTAGTGTTTGATAGATGGGTGAGTAAGACTTGGTTGCCAAGATGTAGAGAGTGTGTAGCCAGAAAAGTGTGAAGAGATATATGAGATTAAAGGGTCATAATAAATTCGCCAAAAGAGAGGAGTGATAGTTTCACCTTGGTCAATACCATTTTTAACTGAATAAAAATCAGTAAGACCAAGGTTGGTAATGACACGATTAGTTCAGTTAAAAAGAATGTTGAGAGAATATTAATAAGCTGTATAGGCATTTGAAGTCTATGGAATAATTATTGAAAAAGTTCAAAGTTGACAGAGTCATAGGCTTTACTTATATCTTGAGAGAGAAGCCAGAGTTGATTAGATTGACAGTTAGTGTCTTCAATGGTATTGTTCAAAATATAAATAGGGATTGATGTAGAATTGCCAGAAAGGGCAACATAGTTAAAAGGAGAAAGAATGTTGTATAAAGACAGAGTATTGTTAAGGCGGTTAGTGAGAAGTTTGATATATAATTTTCTAATATGTTCAACTAAGCTAATGGGCATATTTGATAAATTACTATCAAAAATAGGTTTTTTAGAAATGGGAAAGATATAGCCCTCTTTCTATTGTTTAGGTATAGTTTGAAGAGAAAGGCAGCGGTTAAAGATTGAAGTGATAGCTAAAGTAAAAGAAGGGCCAGCATGTTTGATCATTTCATAACTAATACCAGAAGGGCCACATGCTTTGTTGTTGGGAAGTTGGCTAATTGTAGAGATGATTTCCTTTTGAGTAAAGTTTGAAAGAATACTAGTATACTAATTGGAATCAATGTTTAGTTTCGGGTTATATTTAGTTTGCCAATAAGATTCAAAGATACTACAGTCATACCTGAGTTATATCCCTATTGGGTTATATCCCAACCTGAGTTATATCCCCATTTTTTAGCAGAATAAATTTCCTTTTTTTACATAGTTTATATATTGAGTTATATCCCCATCTTAGTTATATCACCAAATATGCTCTGGAAAAAATGGGTGATATAACTCAGGTATAACTGTATAATCAATATCACAGTGAGCAGTCCAGTTATCAAAGTGTTGTTGGATATGTGATTTGATAGTTGGAGAGTCATGATAATAATATTGTGATTGAGCTTGATATTATTGAATTTAACAGGATCTTTGTGATGGTTAATGATGCTATTAATCATAAAAGTAGGGTTTGTTTAGATTTTTGTATATCTTTTATCTATAGAGTCATTAATGTGTTGTCTGATTTTTTTGATATTTTCAATGTTCTGGGTATGATAAATATTTTTTCATTCTTCATTAGCTTCAGAGATCCAGGATGATAGAAGGTGATGAGATGTAGGTATAGTAGGAATTTGTAAACTTAAGGATTAGTTAAGAGAAGAAATAGTAGTATTGAAGTGTAAGGGAATAGTTGTATTAGATTTGAGAGAGTGTTTAATATGACGAATAATATTGCCAAGCTTTTTAAGATTTGAGTGAAGTAAAGATGCTTTAGAAGAGAAAACATGTTGGAAATTACGGACTATAAATTTTTTATTGGAAATATGTTAAAGGGCAGCAGAAATGATACTAGTTTGAATTTTGTGCCAGATAAATTCGAGAGATTCAGCAGTATAAATAGAGTGGAGTACAGTTATTTATAAGATTAGTGTTGACTTGGTTGGCGAATTCTTCCCACTTTGTGGAGTTCATAACTTTGTAGTTAAAAACTCAACAGCGTGTTCGAGTTTTATATCTACGTTGATTCTGTAGAGCATATGGGAAAGACTAGCAGGAAATAAGAATTTTATAATCACTAAGTAAGCTAGTATTAGTATCATCAGTTTAAAGAAGGTTAGGTAAGTTAGGATAGTATGGTAACTCCAAATAAAGTCAATTTCACTGCTATATCTAGAACTTTGCCATGTAGATGAAGATGAAAAGGTGTGGGCTGCTAAATTGTACATGTTATTAAAAGTAAAGAATTGAAGAAGTTTGAATTTAATAGAAGAAGAGAGTGTTTAATTTACTGAGACATTAAAATCCCCAAGAACAATAGGAAGTAAGTTAGAAGAAATTACTTGTTGGATCTATTCAATTATAAGGTTTTGGGTGTGAAGTCATGTAGTGGAGTTATCAGTATGAAGGTAAATAGAAATAATGCGAAATTTAAAATTATGTTTAAAGAAAAGATCTATGTACATAGCATATCCAGGGTGAGTAACTATATTATGAATATAAGGATTAAGATGATTTCGAATCATAATAGCAGTGCCAGCTTTGGAGCTGTCTGTACAGGACCAGTAATAAGTAAAAGAAAAAGTTGAATGTGGTTTCAAATAAAAAGGATTGGAAGCAAGTTTTGTTTCAGACAAGCAAATGATATCAAGATTGTTATTTAGGCAATATTCTTCCAAACTTGTTGTTTTAGTCCTTGATTAAGGCTGCGAATATTATGAGTACAGATTGAAAGATTGAAGGGGGAGAAAGAAGAGTTGGGACTATGAAAAGTGAAATTAGAAACAGAATTGTAGGTATTATTTAATGTAGGGGAGTTATAGGTGTATAATCTAAAAGGAATAGAAGGTTTAAGGTAAATAGTTTCATAATAAGGTACAATAATATGATCTGGTAGAGGGCAGGGTTCACCAGGTGTGTAGGTATAAGCTTCGCTAAAGTCTAATTTGACAGATATGACAATTTTTTTATATAGTTTGTTCCATAGACCAATAGTAAGTAAATGTAAGATAAAAGAGTTTAGAGTTTGTGGACTTTTGATAGGAGAACAATTTTGGGATATAAGGAATCAATTGTAACAAATAAGTGAATCATAAAATGAAGGAGTTATATTAATATAAATCTTATGTAAGTTTTCTACAGAATCGCTCACCATATACCCCGGCTCTCACGGTTCTGCAAGGACTAGAAGTACTCTGGTTGAACGTTAAAGTACTGTTATTATCTAATTCTTCTAAGTAAATAGGCTTATCCACCTGTCTACTTACATCATCTTTCTTATTAAATGCCAAGAGTGCTTCTAATAATAAGGTGGTGGCTGCATTTATGGGAGTAGTTGAAGACTGGGCTATTAAAAGGAGGAGGATTGGTTAAGAGGAATGGATAAAGGAGGAGAGGAATTAATAATAGTATAGATTATAGGGTTACTATTAGAAGGTGAAGTAGTAGAAACACTTGTGAGAGGAAGAGAATTGAGGAAGAATGTGATAGTAAAAGCACTAGTAGATAAATGAGATTCAGAAATCTCGGAGGTAGGAACTTGTGTAGAGCTTAGAATTAGATCTGAATGAGGGTTGTCGGATGTAGAAAAATTGTTGGCAAGAAAAAATGAATCCTCAATAGTAGAAGGGACTACAAAGTTAAGATTGAATTTAGTAACAATGATGTTTTTAGCTTGTTTGCATGCATAGTTAATATAATAGTTAGAAGTTTGGGAGGGTAAAGGTTGTCGATCCTTAATAATGTCAAAGTAAGTAATAATATGAGCGAGAAAGTCAGTTTCAATAAGGTTTTGAGTAATTAGATCAATAGCTTGTTTCTTAGAAAGATTGTCAATACTGTGATTTTGGGCAGCAATATTATGATAGGCAGTAAAGTATTTGTAGAAAAAATATCATGGCGACCAGTAGATGTAGGAGTGGAGTTATTATTACAAAAAGTTTTTTCGGCTTGGTTGGCTAGTTCATGAAGAGTTGAGGTAGGGATTGGTAGCTTGAATGTGGCTTGGTATTTGTGATTAATGAAAAATATTGATGTATCAATATTAAGTCTTGTAAATCAATATCTTTTTTCAGAAAAGTATTAAAGGAATCATCTAAGATTGCTTTAAAAAGTTTTGATATATTGTGTTTATGGTCAGAAACATAAGAACAGTTTGTGTGTTTACATGTAAGTAGTGGAAATTAAGATGACAAAAGCATTCATTACGTCTGTCTTAAAAGTTGTAAGGTTTGAAGAAAGAAATTTGGGATGGAAGTAAATTTTTAAGCTCAGTTATGAATTGTTTTCTAATTTGTGATTTAATAGAAAGTCTAGTATCTTCTTTGTTGGGAATAGTTTGAAATTGTTTGCTATATAGTGGGAAAACCTTTTCGAACCAGGTATTGAAATAGTTAAGGAAGTTTGAAAGAGAGGGTATAGAAAATTGTTGAAGAAAAAGGGTTTTTGGAATGTTGAAAAGTAATTCTATATTAAATCTATTATCAGATTTGATAGTGACATATTTGTCTTTCTTGTCTTAGGAAATGACAGAAGAGGTAAATTTAAAGTTTTTTAGCCAAAAATTAAAATCTTCAGCAAATTTGTTGTAATTAATAGCTTGATAGTTGTTGGAAAGATATAAATGTAAATAGGCAAGATTGAGGCAGAATTGTAGTCGACTTGTAATGTTGTATAAAGGGATAGTAGCAGGAGATATAAAGGTTTCTGCATAGTTGAGTTTGGTAAAAAGAATTGTAGTGAATTTATAGAGGATTTTTTTAAAAGTATCTTCAAGGATATGGAAGGGAATAGGGGCTTCTTTATCAATAAAAGGGTTAATATGGTGTATATAGTCAATGAGAAATTCAGGGCATTCACCAGCCATAACACAAATTATGTAGTAAAAGCTAGCTTTGAGAGGTTGACTATTGTTAGATATTGCTACTTTGAGAATACTTCCAGAATAGAAGTTATGAAGATAACTTTTGAGAAAGGTAAAAAGTTTAAATAAAAGTTTGTTTGAAGTCTAGTATTCGGTTTCATAGTATTAGTTATAGGAAAATTATAAATCTAATTAAAAGAAGGGTTTTGTTTAGAATGGAGAGAGGATTGGTTAGAAGGTAAGGAGTTTGATTTTTGTTGTAATACAGAAGAGTAAGTTTGACTTTGGGGTTGTTTATTTTTGGATATAGAACTTTGAGCAATTGATAAGTAAGTAGATTGAGAGGTGGAGAAGAACAATATAGATTTGGAAATTAATGGGCTTGGGGATCAAGGGGTAAGGATGAGGATGGATCTACAGATTGAGTAGGAGGCTGAATAGTAGTAGTTGGTTAAGTAGGAGAGATTAGAGGTAGGTTGCCTGATAGGTGTATTGACATCCATTATTTTTGCAACAAAGTTTGAAGTATCATTATCAAGAAAGTCTGGATTAATTAAAGAAGAAGGAGTTTGGTTAGTAGTCAAAGTAGAAGAGTTAATAGAAGTAATATGAGTAGCAGAATAAAGTTTGGAAGCATCATTAATAGGTATTAAGGGGTATAGAGAGTTTTGAGTAGGAGAACTATAAATATATTCAGATATAGAAGAAGGAAGGAAACAGCTTAGAAAACTAGGTTTAGGGGATGGATCAGATTGATAAAGAAGTAAAAGAGATCAGGGGCGAGGAGCAGGGAGTTAGGAAGAATTTAATTGGTTTGGCTGAGTAATTGAAGTTTGGGCAGTTGAGGCTTGTAGGGATTGATCAGGATGAGTTGAGAAATAATAAAGATAGTTTGAGTGGGTAGTTGGTATTGGAATGCTGGGGTATTGAAAGAGGTAAGTGGTTTAGAATGAACAGTAGAAGTAGAAGTAGTTGGAGTAGGTGAAGAGACAGGTGATTCAAAGTGCAGACATGCTTTGTGGAATAGTTGGTTATTTTTGAATAAAGTATTTTTATCAAGTGAATGAAGTTCAAAATCAGGTATAAAGGTACATAGGATAGGCTGTTAACAAATAGTACATAAGTGTTGGCATTGAGTTGGGTTATGAGGTAAATATTGGCTTTGGGATTGATTAACGAAAGAGTGAATAGGAGTATTAGATAACTTAGATGAGAAAGGTTGAACAACAGAGGTAAATTTGGTATGATATTTTTGCAGAAGCAAGTTATGGTAGCAGCAGTATGAGGGGCTTGAAAGAAGTAGATATTTTTACTCGTACTACATAGCTGAGTTGAGCATTTAGTAGAAGTGACACCTTTATTCATAGGTCTAGTACTATTAGGTCTATCCTCATAGATCCAAATACCAAACCAATTGGGATACTGAGATAAAAAAGTGTCAAGATTGATAGTATCAGGTTGTTTGGTGCTAAGAGTAGGCTAGGCATTTGAGCTGTTTTTAACTTAAATATTAAGATAAAGGTAAATTAGGTGTCGTAGAATAATAATAATAATAAATTATTGTGGAGGATGAAGAGAGCTTCGAAATGGTATAAAATTTGTTTCATGTAACGTAGATCACAAAAAGTCAAGGTAAGTTACACAAATCACATGCAGGTCATGTGTTATACAAACGTCACTTATAACCCAAGTATGCCTTGTGAAACTTGGGTGACGTTGCTAAATTAAAAATAGAAAGAATACAAAGATATAAATAGTTAATTTGTGTAATAAAACTTAAAAATAGTGTAAATGGGGAGAACCACTAAAATTGAGGTATTTGAAAATGTGGGTGACGCAAATTGAGGTTACACAGAAACCGTCTAAGTGGTTTTGCCAAAATATTTTAGGAAAAAAAGAAAAAAAATAAAAAAAAATTGTAGAGAGTTAAAGCAGTAATTTGGACATAGCTTTATCAGTTTTAAAGCTACAAACTTGTACTATAGCTTGTTATAACGGTAACTGTGAGCTCTTTAACTTTTTCTAAGCTTAAACAGTATATTAAGAAGGCCGTTTGGTAGGTATTTTGAGTAAAATACAAAAGCAGGCCAAAAGGCCTTAACTTGACAACTTTACAAGTTTTAGCAGTAATATTTAGATATTATGTATAGCAGAAGAGAAGAGACAAGTTTACTTAAGAGACAAGTTTACTTAAGAGACAAGTTTACTTAAGAGACAAAACTATATTTGTATAGTAAAATAATAAGCAATAAAGTATTTTTGAAATAATTAAAGTGAGAATTTTTGTGTACAAGTGATAGTCAAGAAGAGTTCTATTTTTTAAAATTATATATTTTTTATTAAAAATAATTTATAGAAATATTAGAAATAAAGCTAGTATTTCAAAAGAAATCAAAAAAAAATGTATACAATTATAAGAGCAAAATCTCAAAATGAAGTAATAGAAACCTTAAATAGTCTTGAAAATTGTGAAATTAAAATTGTCAAAGGTTATTATTATTATTATTATTTTATATTTTATATATTTAAATTACTAATATATTTTTTTTAGATTGGGTTTTAGATAAAAAACAAAATTGAGTTTTGGCTGCATTGTCACCTGCTTTTACTAAAATGGCACATAATATTTGGATTAATACACTATTTACTACAAATGTTGGTGAATTTGCACATACAACAATTAATACAACTGGTTGTAATCTTTCATTAGTAGCTGCTAACCAAAGGTATTATTCTTTAATATACAGTGCTTTATTATTTTATTAAATAGATAAATATATAAAAATTTTATTTTTAGATCTGCAAAATTTAATTCTTATCAATGGAGTACAGCAATAACTTATGAAAAAACTAATGTACATGATTCATATCATAATAAATCTTTATTGCAACGTACAATAAATTCAGCTAAAAGAAAGCATAAGTATATTTTTATATAATATTAATATATCTATCTAGAATTAATTTAATTTTTATTTTTTAGAAAAACAAAATACAAAACAATCACCAATTACAACAAAATCTAAAAAAAAGCTTGCTATAACAGAAACTAGTTCTAATGAATCTTCTATAATATATGAACAGGAACAACAGTTAAATATTGATTATAAAAAATTAACAGTTCAAAAGAATTTAAACAATGAACTTGAAAGAGAAATTAAACTTCGCCAACAACTTAAATCATGATATAATTCTGAAACTAATAATAATAATTAACAGTATTATTAGTTTAATTATTAGTTTCATAATATATTTGCTAAAATAGATGCATATAATTAATTTTTTTTATGTAATGATTTTATTGCAATAAAAATATTAAACTTTTTTGCTTTGCTTGCCAAATATATTTAATTCGTACAAAAAATAAAATAAATAACTTAATATTAAAAAAATTCATTCTCTAATATTTACTTGTTATAAATAGATTACTTTAGAGTAAACTTTCCAAAGTTTAGATTTTTACCACTACAGCATCACTAATAATTGTAAATTATTTGGATTTACGCTATGAGACTGGAAATGTAACCTGAAGCAGGCACATGCCTTGTGACCTGGTTGTTTCTAAATTTGAAACTCCTAACTGAAAATCGCAGAAATGCCATTTCTGAAAGAAAGGGCAGAAATGGCAGAAATCGTAGAAATAGCAATTCTTGGAGAAATAGTATTTTTGTCAATAAAGGCATTTTTGGGTTTTCTGTTAATAAGGGCATTTATGAGTTTATTGGCGTTTTTGACAATAATGGTATTTTTGAGATTTCTGACGTTAACAGTAGAATATGGAAATTTTCTAGACAAAATTGGTATTATAAAAATAAAGGCCTTTTGGCCCTTGGGAAGAATAACTCCCACCTTTGCTTTATTAAAACTACTTTTATCATACAAATATTCCAATAAACATACTATCACTATTAATAAATCTGTATACTTCGTAATTTGAGTAATAAAATTATATACTGCTACATTTCTTATATCAGATCTAACATTTAACATACCCCTTTATTACGAACCCTGCCTGAATGATATTAAACCCTGGTTCTGTCCTAACTAAACTAAACCACTCGACTAAATCTAACATGCCTCTTTCGAACTCAAGGTAACCAAGGTTGAGGTTACATAGTCCTACTTTTGATTTAGTGACAGACTTGCCGTTTCGGGTCTGACAACACAAAACCTATCCTCTTATGAATATATGATCATATTTGATAAGTTTTATTATAAAAGAAAATCAGAAATGTAAGATATAACATTTATTTAGCTTGGTGCCACTATGTGATCTTCTGAAGATGGCAACGAATGTACAAGTGATAATAAGAATATTGATGATTATATTAAAAAATCTCAATTTATGGCCATGGGATATGATATGGCTATTGAGTGGATTCTATTTAAAAAATTTGAAAATATACAGAAAATTAATAGAACAGTATGGATAGATGGCATACAAATAGTTTCTAAAGTTGATGGCAAACAAATCCAAATAATGGATAAAAAATTTCTCAAACTTTGTACTGTACTGTACAATTTTTTAAAAATACAGTACCGTACACCTTTTATTTATATATTCTATATATTATATAATAAAGAGTGTACTGTACTGTATGTACAATTAAATAAAAAATACAGTACAACTTTTTCTAATGTACAGTACAAAATTTCTATATTCCCAATAATAACGATCCTGTTATGACATTACAGCTTAGCGATCCTTATGAAGTTATAAAAAAAAATAGGATGTACGTACATACCTACGTATGTATAATTATAACATCATAAATAGATTATGAATTTTCATATTCACGTAACACAAAGTACATTATGTACAGTACATCAAAGTTGAATATATGCATATATGTAAGATTAGCCAACGGCCATAATTTTTATTATAAGAGGAAGAGGAAGGATTAAAGAGTACATTTTCTGGAACCTACTACGTATATTGCATCATGCTATCATGCTAGTATGTATGTGCACTTTTTTATAATGTGGGCTTTAACAATTATAGCTTCAGTTGATTGTCAATCATGCATAAACATGATCACTAACCAGATATCAAATACTGGTATGTCTAACGCTAACCCAGTTATGCAAAATACTGGAAACCCAAGGCGTTGCACACTATTCCTGATATAGGTAGAGACATACAAATAGAGATGAAATCATGTGAACAGGTTGTCCAATCAGAATTAAAAGAGCTACACCACTTAACTTGCCTATAAACCATACACTACGTACTTCGTACTCCGTTCCTGGTACAATCAGGCCCGAAACATTTAGGTCTTGATCCACTGATAATTCTTGATACAAGATCATTATTAAATAGAATTCTATCAAATTCTCTTTGTCCGATCGAAGTCACTGTTGCGATAACTCCAAGACTGTAAATATCTGATACTTGAGTATATGGTTGACCCATCAAAATCTCTGGTGCTATATACGGCAGAACTCCACAAATTTTTCCTTCTTTTATTTTTTTACAAAGTCCAAGATTAGTAAATTATCTCTATGCAAAATGTTTCCGCTGTGTAAATCTCTGTGAACAAGTTCTTATTTATCTTACCATTCCAATTGTGATACTCATACAAGATTTCTGTCGTAATGAACCTTTTACTGCAAGCTTCATAACAATAATATATCACTATGATTATTTCTTGATGCATCAATACAGTCCAAGAGCGAAGCATTCTTGTAATAAATTTTACAAAAATTCTTCAATTCTTAAATAAATTCTTGCACATTTTTATTCGAATCATGAATCACCTTAAGTGCAACATCCCACCACATACCATTAATTTTATCGAACAAATGTGCCCAATATACAGTTGCAAATCCTCCTTTTCCCTATTTCTCAATATGTCTGAACTCATTATAAATATTTCATTATCTAAAATTCCCTTAAGTTCAGGATTGATATGATTTGGAGATTTAATAGTTTTCAAAAGACTTCTATGTTTTGTGAACCAATAATTTGCCTTCTGAATGTCTCTCTTTGTTCCAATACCATTATGATAACATCGAGCAGCATTACTCATTGCTCCATGATCACCAACTTAGCAGATTTTTCGTAATATTAATTCTTTATTTAATCTTGACCAACACCTGCTCCATTTCTATAATGATGAGCAAGATTACATATTCTGATAACATTATCCAAATCAGCCGATTTTTTACAATATTCAAATGCTTTTTGGTCATTTATTTTTGGTCCAATTTCATAATAGTAACAATTACTACACTATTCATCGCATCCAAATTTCCTAACTCAGCTGCTCTCATATAATATTCGAAAGCTTTCTTTTCATCTTTATTAACGCCAATGCCATGTTGATATTTGTAACCAAGTTCCCAAAGTTGCTTGGAATCCATTTTGATTTTTTTTAACGAGGAAAAAAAATTCATGCGTAACAAAGCACATTTAATGTTTAGTCAGAGTAATACAAAAGTACAACAATAAGTTGCATTATTGATTAGTCCATTAATTGACCTATATATATCAAAATCATAAAAATTTTCATGGTTAGCCGCATGAATATTTGTATTTAATGTAACAAAACCAAATAGGTTCCTGAAAGTTTATTTTTTCTAAAACTTCACCGAAGTCATAATACTAATAATCCTTTTTGCTAATAAGGCATAAATTTGATAT